AAGAGCCCTAAGAGCCAGGCAGAACCCCCACAGGTGCAGGTTGCTGTGGCAGCCAGCTAATGAGGGAATTAGCCTGCACCTGCAGCTTGTCAGCTGACTGGAAGAGGCAGGGCCCTGGGCATATATAAACCCCAGGGCTGGGACTAGAGGCTGAATTCTCTGTCAGCAGCCAAGGGGGGAAGGAGCTAACCAGAGAAGCTTGAATGTCTGTTCTAGTTCTGGTAGGATTAAGGGGCTCTAGGAGCTCACCAGATACCTTGGCCTACAAGGCACTTAGTGCTAGAGGAAGTTTGACTTTTTTAAAGGAACAGAGCACACCCTGAACTCTTTGTATTATGTTATAGCCCAGGGGCTTATATTTTAGATGCTGTTTATACACTGGTGGATTGGGCTGAGGCTATTGGGGAAGGAGCAGGCCTCATTGGGGTGGCCCACTACAGTGTAGGGACCCCAGCACCAGGGGGCGAGGTGATGAAAGGGGTGAGCAGACCCCAGCGCCAGTGTGGGCACAGAGACAGGGCTATGGACAGCTCAGTGATGACCAGAGGCCTAGCTAGGTTAGGGCCTCAGCAAGACAATGTGTGAATGCCATTTGTGAGGCTTGAGGCATAGTAAAGGGGCAGTTTTAGAGCTACACACCTAGCCCTTAAGGCTGAGGGTGTCCTGTGAGGCATCCACTTTGAGCAGGACCCAAAAACGGGTCCAAGAACCCACGGGGTTCAGTGGGGTCCAGCAGGACCATGTCCAGATGAACTTGAGGGCAGCCTCCCTATATTTATAAGTACCAGCAAGATGTGGCAGGTGAGGAAAAGGGTGCCCATTGGGCAAGATTGGCATGGTCATGGAGCCCTAAGTGTGTCATGGCCATCCCTGGGGACACCATCCCATGACACCCACCCAGCCCCCTGGCCAGATCCAGATCATGGGGTCCCTTTGCAGTCTAGACCCAGATTTGGGAACTGCAACATGACTTGGGAGTCCAGGGCTTGCAACAAAACTTAATCTAATGCTTTTGATTAGAAGGACAAGCAGATGGAGAAATTATTCATTAGGTACAACCTTTTCCAAACTACTTTAGCATAACTAAGGAAATAGATGTTTTTCTTCATCCTGTGAAATGGTCCAATTCTCTATCTTTTACAGACATGACTACATATTTAGCAGAAGTGAAGTATCTATATGCAAAAGAAGCAAAACAAATCACATAAACATGTAGGGTAAACTGAAAAATAAGTTTCTCTATATTCAAGTTTAAGTCAAATTACTTCTTTAGTCTTAAGTGTTGTAGTAGGGTTGCAATATTGTTGAATTGGCAAGGCGAGTTTCACAAGTACTCTTTTCAGAGGAGATGAGAGTATTTTGTGCCTGAAATGTGTCCCAGCTATACAGTTGGTCCAATAAAATATATCAACAAAAATCTTTGCCTGTGTTTATTATTAAATTAATAATGTAAAAAAAAAAAAAAAAACTTGTCAAGGATTAAATACAGCATTCAGTCCTTAGGAAAGTGGTTGCGTATTCAACTGAGCTTCTACTAGAAATATTGAGAACTCACAAAACAAAATGAGGAATAAATGAGCCTCTAAAGCAAGAGGCTCATAAGCTGGAACTAGACGCATTAGCTCAAAAACTTTTTTCAGTAAGTTGCACGATTTTTCCATGTCTTTCCATCACCACATATGATGTTGACTCATGTCTTGTTGCCTTTGGCAAGAAATGCTTGTATAAGCTCAACTTGCTGAAAATAGCTAAATGTCCTGGCCAAATTACCAGTAGGCTGGGGTGAGCTAATATAGCTATATGTAAAACTTAGACATGCATGGAAAGTATCAGTGAAATCTTTAGAAAGCTTTCCTGCATACAGAGACACCAAGTGCATCTATTTTCAATGGGTTCCAATATATTTTTTTCCATTCTCCAGGGATTTAGGACCTCATTTTGTTTTTTAAAGAGGACTAAATCCAACACACAAGTGTACCTTGTACTCCAGCTGCAAAGACGGAGGGGGAAAAGGCAGCTAAGGTTTTTTGTTGTTGTTGTCATGCTTTGTTTTTTCATTTTTAAAACAAATTTCTTTTAAGTGACCGTAAAGGAATAAATGTTCAATTTTCCTTTCTTTTTGGTACTATGCTGCAATTTCAGCTACAATTGTCCAAAATTAAATAGAGAACTGTGAGCTTGATTTTGAACTCATGTTAGTGGGTGTTCTGCTTTGTCAGGCACTACAGATCTTAATACTGTTGTTTATAGATCACCATAATCACTTCTCTGAATTAACGGAATTTCAAGTACACTTGACTCATGGGCTGGGTTACAAAAAGGCTTCTTCTTTTTTTCTTTTTTTTAATCAACTAAACCTGTTTATAAGTAACTTTTGGGCTAATGTATTGCATTTTGAAGATAATCTTTCCAGATCTTTGACCACCACTTTGAACACCCTCAGAAAAAGATTACTCCTAAACAATCCTAACAGTAAACTTTGACTACTGGGAATGCATGTTTAGAACTTATTTCAGCACTGTTTAGATAATCAAGCAGTATAGAGCTAATCAATGAAAGATTAGTGACCAGGCCTGTAAAAAAAAAAAAAAAAAATCCAGTCATTTAGGAATAAACCAGGGTTTGTCACATGGAAGTTTAATTTCTGTATTTACTTTTAACCAGACTGTCTTATTGAATTCACCCTGCAGGTCTTAAAATTTATTGGCAGTACAGGAATAATGTAAAGGAATATAAGAATACATATACTTTTATTATTTTGAGTGGTTTGGTTTAAACTAGTCCTAGTCACCTGGAATACCACAAGATAACTTGCCTTCAGTAGTACCTGCAATGAAAATATGTAACTGCACTAATTGGAGAATGATTTAAATGAAGAAAAAGCATTGGGAAGGAAGATAAATGATGAGCTATATCAAACATCCCCCTAGCACTGAATTAATCACCTATATAGTATGGTATGATGAGAGAGGTAAAGGCTGACAAAAAATAACTATCAGCAGAACACCAGAGTCACAGTAACAGGCAGAAACATCTAACCACAAAGGGAATAACGATTCTCAGATCCACTCCCTCCCCAACTTCATAGTACTCATACTCAAGGGAAACCTACAGAAACAAACACTCATCACTTTACTGGACACTTAAAAAACAAAAAAACAAAAAAAAACAAAAAAACAACACATGGACTAAAACATATGACCTTGTTGCATGTTGCACTTTGAGCTGCTCAAATGTGAATTGGTGTTAGTACTAATTCAGGTTTGGAGCAGTCACATGTTAAGACTAAAAACCTTCTCTGACTGTCCCCCACCTGCACAGCTGTGAATTGCCACTACAAAACTGTTGAGCAGGGACCCGAGTAGGAGTTGCCACTACAGAGCAGGTGAGACAGGACAGACTTTATCCCTGTTCTAGATGAGGGAGTGTGAGACATTGGTTAAAGAGTTAATGGGAGAGTTAATGGGATGGGAGGAGATGGGATATGGGAGTGGCAGAAGGGTGGTGAAATGAAGGAAGTCAGCCACTGAAGGATAAAATAAACAGAAAAAAATCTAAAAGAAAGAGGAAGTAAATTAAAGAAGGTCTCATGTTGCAATAAATTGGGATTTGGGATTGTGGGGAGGAGGCTGGTCATGCTTCCTGGGGTGGCTGAGAGGTGGGACCAGTGAAGGAAGGTGCTTTTGGGAGAGCTACTGCCTCTGCCCCAAGAAGGAACCCCCAGCTCATAAGGATCTGATCTAGTCGCCTACCATGTTTGCCCCCCTCACCTTTCCCACAGTCCATTCCTGGACCTGTACATGTGCTAAGACCTGGTTTAGCTGGCATGTGCTCTTCAGGTTGTTTACACAGGGTTGCACCTGTGGGGGTGGGCAAATCTCACCTATCGGGGTGGGAGAGGGAGTTGGCTTGGTACCAGAACTGCCCCCTAGGCAGTAGAGTTCAGGGGTGAAAAATTGTTCACATAGAACAGGAAGGTGGGGAAGGGGACACTGAATCCTGGGATGCTGGAGGACTGCAATGTGGGTGGCTTATCTGTGGGAAGTAGCCATATATTAATGGAACATGAGCTGAGTAACACCAATGAGAGAGAATTCTGCCCTGGAGTGGCATAATTTTAAGCCACCTAAAGTGTGCTTAAAACTAGTTTCAGGTATTAATGTGTGGGCAATCCAGGGATTAATTGCTCCAAGAGCTGTATAAAATTAACATGCAACAAGGCCCATAGGCAGTGGTTTTATGGCTCATTACAAATTTGCCTGCTCTTTCTGCTAGCCTCTCTATACTCCTAAGGTAACAACAACTTTCTCCCATTTTGTAGGGTCTTACTTTCTTACATCGGCAACTGGTGCCTCCTGATACTGTGGGGGGGCACCAGCAGCTGATCACCAACTGGGAGGGTGGACTCCTAGTGGCCAATTGCTGACCAGGGGAAGGGGGGTTCCCCAGTAGCTGATCACTGCTGCTGCCAGTGGTAAAACTTCTCCAGCCAGTGCTCGCAGCACCCCCACAATCTCGGGGAGGGGCACCAGCCATCGCCCGACAATCTCTGGCTGGTGAGGACCAATCTCAGGGGGGGGCATGTGCCCTGCCCTACACATTGCCTATGCTTTCTTACATAATTAGGTTAAACTATTTGAACTGTCTTTTCCCTGGTTTGTAGCTGCTTTCTATACCTTCTCTTTGCTTCGCAGGTTTACTGCCCTCTTTCCCCTTTAAGAAATTCTTTTAATTTTCAAAATGGAATTAAAGAAAATTCTTTGTTTTACCTGGTTTTAGATTAGGCTGTATCTGCTTCTTTCCCAAACCTGAGGAAGGACATTTTATGCTGAAAAGCTTGTCTAACATCTGTCCTAACTATATTGGTCCAATAAAAGATACTACCCAACAGACCTCGCTTCCAACACACCACTATACATCCATTTCCAGCAAAGTGCTCCAAGTGACCCCAAGAGACCTCTCCATTTATTCAACAAAGTCTGGGTTGCAGTGTTCAAGTCTTCCTGTAACATAAATTGCATGCACTTCTGAACATGAAGAGTAATGGTACATTTAAGAACTTTGGCTCATAACTATAAATATCTGTGTTTGCCTCTTTACATGGCAGCCTACAGTATTGAATAAAATAGCATTTGCTGTATGTTGTCATATTATACTAAGTTTTTTGTTTTTCTTATTTTAAAGCACAGATAAGAAACCCCAGATAAATAAAAAAAGAAACACCTATTTTAGCCATTTTCTTCACTTGAGAAATGTATGCATTTTTTTAATGCCAAAATAACCTGGGTTAGACAATATTTCCACTGAATATAAACAACAGCATATTTGATATGCAAGACTAACCGCATAACCATGTTTAATAAATTATGCTTGAATAATTCTGTCAAAGAGCACAGAGGAGCATTATTCACAGTGGGAATTCTAATTCCCAGAAAATACTGCTTCTGATGCCACCTAGCCATCAAACTGAAGTAAACAGTCAGCTTAATTGTGTTCCTGTTTTAAAAGTAAAATGAAATGTGAAAGACTTTGAAAGTGATTGATTCTCTCCTGAAACAACTGTTCACATTATAGGGTCATAGGAAAGTAGGGCTAAAAGGGACTTCACAAAGTTACCTAATCCAGGAGCATCCCTGACTAAAACCTCCCAGTCAAGTGTTTATCTAACCTACTCTTGAAAAATTCCAAGGATGGAGATTCCGCTACTTCTAAGCCATTTATTCCGATGTTTGACCACCTTCATAGCCAGAAAGTTTCTCCTCATCTCCAACCTAAATTTCCCCTGCTGCAACCCAAGACCATTGCTACTAGTCCTGTCCCCTACAGCCATAGAAAAAAAGCCCATCTCCACCCTCTCCACATTGCCCTTCAGGTAGTTGAAGATTTATCAAAATTCTGCCCCTGCACCCATCCTGAGCCTTTTCTTCTTCAGGCTAAATAACCCTATCTTTCCTCTAAAGTTAGGCTTCCCAGGCCCATAATCATTTTTGTTGTTCTGTGCTGAACTCTTTCAAATCTGTCTACTTCCTTTCTGAAATGCAAGGTCCAAAACTGAACACAGTATTCCACATTAGGTCTCACCTTTACTGAATAAAGCAGAAGAACCATTTTCCTTGATGTACAAAGTGACACTCCTGATGATACAACCCAATATACTGTTATACAACCCAGTATGCTGTTGGCTTCCTTTTGCAAAAATACCTTGGCTCATTTTTAGCTTATGGTCTACAGCAGGGATAGGCACCCCCAAGTTGAGTGTGGCACTCAAAGGCATTTTGCTTGGCACTCATGCTTCTGGTTGGATGGCAGGAAGGGGCCAGGGCTACATGGCAACAGCAAGGATTGAGCCTCCCATGGCTCCCCCATCATCCACCCCTGGCACACCAACATCTTACAAGTTAAAGTTGTGGGTGTTTTCGAAACTGTGCCCAAAAATGTTGCTAACCCCTGGTCTACTACTCCTTGCAGTTGGAATACTGCATCCAGTTCTGGGCGCCGCACTTCAGGAGGGATGTGGACAACATCAAGAGGGTCCAGAGGAGGGCCACTCACATGATCAGGGGTCTGCAGGGCAGGCCCTATGAGGAGAGGCTACGAGCCCTGAACCTGCTCAGCCTCCACAAGAGAAGGCTGAGAGGGGATCTGGTGGCCATCTATAAACTGGCCAAGGGAGACCAGCAAGCAATGGGAGAGTCCCTGTTCCCCTGAGCACTACTGGGAGTAACAAGGAATAACGGCCAAAAATTGACTGAAAGTAGATTCAGGCTAGGCGTCAGGAGGCACTACTTCACAGTCAGGGCGGCTAGGATCTGGAACCAATGTCCAAGGGAGGTGGTGCTCACTCCTACCCTGGGGGGCTTCCAAAGGAGGCTAGATAGACACCTTGCCAGGGTCGTTTGACCCCAGCATTCTTTCCTGCCCATGGCAGGGGGTCGGACTTGATGATCTGCCCAGGTCCCTTCCAACCATGAAACTACAGTAACATCCAGGTCATTTTCTGCAGTACAGCAGCCTAACCAATTATTCCCCAGTCTGTATGTGTGCATGCAATTATTCTACCCCCAGTGCAGGACTTTGTACTTGTCCTTGATGAATCTCACCTTGTTAATTGTCCTGTCTCCAGTCTATCCATGTCATTTCTGATCCTAGCCATACCCTCCAGAGTATCTGCAGCTCCACTCAACTTGATGTTATTTGCAGATTTGCTAAGTGTGCACTCAGTCCCATCCAAATTATTAATGAAGATATAAAACCATACCAGATAGATCCCTGGGGAATCCCACTTGATACCTCCTCCTAGCTAGACAGTGAACTATTGATAACTAATCATTCGGCACATCTACGTCTGCACCCAACTGCACAGTTGTTACTGGGAAGTCATTTAGTATTTGCTTTAGCAAGTAAGTGAAGTTACTGAGCAGTCCCAGAGGGGCATGGGTCATCTCCAACTCTACTGCACAGTAGGGCTGTGTGAAACAGCTGTGTTTTGATTCAGTTTTGGATTTGGCTGTTTCGGAGGACAGTGACTCATTTCGGTGTTTCAGATCACTGTCTTGTTTCATTTCAGCCAAATCAGTTTTGAATGGGCTGCAAGCTTTCCATAGCCCTACTGCCCAGCTGGGTGGGGCTTGAGGTTGGGGGCTGCAGAGCCCCAGTGGGGAGCAGGCCGGGGCCATGGGTGGCTTGTCTGGGAGAGGGGGGGAGGGCCGCTGCCCTCCCTGCAGGCAATGAGACACCCGGCACAGATCTCTGATCCCTGCCATGCCGGGTCGTGGGGCAGGGAAGCAGCACAGAGCGGCAAGCAAGCTTCCTGGTCCCTGCCATGAGACTGCTCCCCAGGGAGCAGAGACCCATGCTGGGGGTCTCCTTGCCACTGCTGCCCACCCTGCACTGCCCTGGGTCTCTCCTCTGCTCCCTGTAAAGACAGGTCGTGTGGTAAGAACCAGCAGTGCCCTGCCGCACGACCTGACTGTGCAGGGAGCAGACATCCATGCTGGGGATCTCCTTGATGCCACTGCCCGCCCTGCACTACACCAGATCTCTGCTCCCTGAGCAGCCAGGTCATGTGGCAGAGCAGCAGTGTACAGTTGTTTCCCTGCAAGCCCAGCTCTGAAACCCTGAAATTTTCTGAAACATTTACAAAACATGTTCAAAATGTTTTGGATGTTTCATTTTGGAGATGTTTCTGAGCCTTCTGTTTCAATTCAGATTCAGCTCCAAACACCTCCAAAACAAAACAGCTGCTAAAATTTTGAACAGCCCTACTATGCAGTAGTGCATGGCCACCATGCAGTACCATCAGCATCAAGGTTCACACCCACCGACACAATGGCTATATAGCATCTTGTGGAGATGCAACCATTGAGTATGATGATCCAACCAGTTATGTATCCACCCTACTGTACTTTGGTCTAGTCTGTATTTCCTTAGCTTGTTAAAAATGTTGAGAAAAGCAGTGGCAGAAGCCTTGCTAAAATCATGCTATATCACATTCACTGCTCTCCACCCTCTGCTCCACCCCCACCCCCCGCCCCACCTCCCCCCCCCCCCCCCCGCCCCACCGCCCCCATCTATGGACCTGTCGCTTTATCATACAAGGAAATCAACTTGATCAGGTATGGACCTGCTCTTGGTGAATCCATGCTGGCTGTTCCTGATTACCTTGTTCTCCTCTAGGTGCATCACAATGGAACGTGTAAGGATTGGCTTCATGATCTCTCCAGGAATAGAGGTCAGGTTTACTAGTCTATAGTTCTCCAGATGCTCCTTTTTCTCTTTCTTGAAGACAAGAACTATTTTTGCCCTACCCCCAGTTATCCAGGACCTCACCCAAACTCCACAAGTTCTCAAAGTGGATAGCCAATGGATTCAAAATTACCTCAGCCAATTCCTTGAGTATGATTTGAGTTGAGGAGGTCCATAAGCTTAACATGAAACATATTAGAGATCTTGTAATATCTAGTACCTGACGGTGTATGAAAACAACTGATCCTAAAAGCCTCCAAGTGCCGCCCTGCCGATCTACATGAAGCATGCGTAGAATCTGTAAAAAACGAATTCCCCTAAGAGAAAAATTAAATAAAAATAAAAAGATATCAACAAGATAGAAATATCAAGAGATAAAAAAAGATCAATATGTATAAACATGTACCTGAATGTATTTGTAAGTTGTACTCAAATATCAAATGGGCCCAATTATCTTTCAAGGTGCTGAACATCATCTCTACTCAGTGATGTGCCTTGGAGTTAAGGCAACTCAGTATCTTTATGTATTTGAACCAATAATTTCAATAGTGGTTTTAAAAGTAAACTATAGCAAAGAATATTTTTTAATGATTTTTTTTCTAGCTCTTAACCCACTTATTTATGGGACCATCAAATGTTTGCTTCCTGAGAATAGCGTTCACTGGAAGAAAGCAAAGCTTTAAATCCCATATCTTTGAAACAGAAAACCTGAATGTTCAACTATTATAAAAAGTCACAATTCTCACTTTTCCTATATTGGTTATCTATATAAACCATGCAGATGTTATTATGTGTCTTATGAAACAGAGCATGTACTTTTGAATAGGGAATGTTTGTAATTCGTGAGAGGTCTGCAGAAGAATAATTATTTGCTGAAGTAATTTATGAATAACTGAATAATTTATGAATAATTGAATTCATTCTGGCTGGAACGATCCCACTTTGAGCAGGGGGTCGCTTTCAACCCTAATTTTCTGATTCTATGATTTAATGCAAATTATTTTTTTCTCTAGCTATTTTTATCATATCCTTTTCAATTTTTCACTCAACTTTATTGACACCAGTCCTATCCTTTAAAGTAGTCAAGAAAAGGAAAAGGATCATTATTAACTCATCTGGCCTATCCATCTACTGGTGTAAGTTACTAGGGCTGCGCGAAGCTTCAGTCCCCAACTCGATTCAACAGAGATTCAGCCCAATTTGGTGGCTGAATCTCTGAATCAAATCAGAGGACCCTTTAATTTCTCCAAATCAAATAGGAACCCTCTGAATTGATTCGGAGAGATTTGGAGATTCAGACAGACACAGCTTTAAATGTTTTTTCTACATCTCTTTAGGTATCAGTGTGGCTCATGAACACTGTGATGCTGGGGCACATGGAGTGTCCCACAGGAGTGCAGGGAGCTCCCTAGTGCACTTGGCAGCAGACCCAGAAGTAGACCAGAAGCACTTCCGGTCCACTTCCGGGTCCGCCAGAGAGCGCATGGGGGGGGGGCCCTCCCACACCCCCTTGGCTTTGCAACTGGTGCCTTCTGGGCCTAGGGGGGCACCCGGGGTCCCCCCATGGCAGATCACCAAGCCAGGGGGGCATGTGGGGGGCCTCCCAGTGTACTCCCCAGCAGACCTGGAAGTGAACCAGAAGTACTTCTGGTCCACTTCTGGATTCACTGCCAAGCGCATGGAGGGCCCCACACACTCCTGTGGGATGCTCCATCTGTCCCCGCATCGCAGTGATTACAAGCTGCACTGGTACCTCGAGACATGTAGAAAAAACATTTAAAGCTAAGTCTATGTCCGAATCGCTGATTCTCCAAATCAGCATCAAATCTTCAGAATCTAAAAATCAGGGACAATGATTCAAATCAATTAATCGAATCACTGTCCCTGATTTAGGCTGAATCCAAGTTGAATAGGGTCTACTTCACACACCCCTATAAATTACCCCTTAATAATGTATTTTCTAGTGGTTTCTCAAAACTCCCAATCTAATAGGTCTGAAGTTTTGTATAATTCAGTTAAAAACTTGCCTTCTTTTTTCTTATTGCATTATGCTTATGCTTTCTTGTGGCACTAATTCACAGGAACCTCAGCAGGTTTTTCTGCAGTGATGTCCATAATCCTTATCAAAACTCAAAGGTTTCATGTAGGTGTTCACCATATCCAATCTATGATTACACTGATTTCTTTAAAATGCATGTCTGTAGATCAGGTGTTGCTTGTGCACATATTTGTTGATGCCAGGAGCCATGCTGGAAACCTGATCCAAGTGGGGGGAGAGAAGGGGAGGGCAGGATTAAGGGGGTGGTAGGGCTAGCAGGTCTGCAAGTGGGAGGGAGTTGGCAGGGTCAAGGGGCTAAAAAAAATAGGTGGGTGGGGTAGGAAGAGTGCAGCCCCGGGACTGGGGCAAGGAGCTGGGCTTTCACAGTCAGAGTTATGCTCCAAATGTATGTAGACATTTGATGGATTGGGCTAGCCCATTTCCTATCTAATTTAGTTCACCTCTCCAATTGAGCTTATTTAGATCAGGCCAGCCGATTTTTCCACAATCTAACTCCCTGAACATCTGAACAGATTGCCACGTAGATTGATATAACTAGGGTTAGGTCAATCTAAGTGTAACATCTGCACATACCCAAACACTAGTACCTTTAGAAGAACCACCTTTTTCTTCTCTTGGCATTTACTTGTTCTGAGCTTTCCCCAAGCCAAGTCAAATTTAACAGATCCTTATCCTTCTTGATCTAGTAACTGGTAAGTTCTGTCCTAAAGGCTTTGAAGCTGAATGTCAGCATTTGTTTCTCTTTATTGCATTATTGATTCTATGCAGCTGTATTATACTTCAGAACTTTAACTGCAACCACGTAACTTTTGGAAATACTAGCAAAAACAGTATTTAAAATAAAGGACTAAAAGAGAAGCATGCTGATGATATATTCCAATGTCAAAGGCCCATGTAGCTCCCCAGGAGGGAGGTGGCCTGGAGAACAAAGGGAATAAGGAGTTGAAAACAATTTTTGAATGTACTAATTTGGCTTTACAATGGACACTAAGTAGACATTATGACAGCCCTTGTTTTTTTCTATGGTAAATATTTTAGATGGTTATCAACAAGGTATCCAAGAGCTGACTGGAACATTACACTCACAGAATCTATAGTTTATTATTAAAATGTATCTTGGTTTGGATTTGGAGGGGAGGGGAGGGGAGGATTTTGAGATGTCAAAATTATGCACACTTTTAGAAAAGATGTAGGTTTTCTTAGAAGGGATAACCAATGTTGGTAGTAAAAAAAAGAGTCTATTGTGATGAATTTGCCAATGCTCTATCTTCCCAAAGGATTGAGGACCTTTGGTAAATGGCTGAGAGTATTGTGGTTCGAGCATATCCCTCACTGATCCCAGACTTGCCAGTTATTTTTGGTGGGTCACAAAATCACACATTTTTCTTCTCACAGAAGGCATATTTGTCTGCAAGGCCCCTGTCTTTATTATTTTGTCAATGCTTATATGCAAAGGTAGTGGGCATTTTGCAAATAGAGTAGACAATGCCCAAAGAAGAGTTATGGGCTTGATCCTAAGCTTTCTCGAGTCCCAGAGACCAGAGTATTCATGAGGGCTCTTAGTACATTACAGAAAATGCAGCACCTTTTGCAAGTATGGGCACAATGAGTAGCAAGCAAATGTATTCCTTTCTACTCTTTATCATTCCTTTCCAGTATTTACTCAGTTTACCCTCCAAAACAAGCTTTCAGTACTTTGAGCAAGCTGAACAAACACTACAAAAAATGAACTTGTTTCTGGTTCATGTACAGTATGAGTTACTTGTGCCAAGCAAATCTATCAGAGCACAACTGCACTTGAAGTACAGCAGTTACATATATTTTAAAAAGTACCAAGTGAGTTAAGTGCTATCTGGATTACTTCTTAAATAAAGCAATGTCCTATAATACTCTTATCTCAGGAACAGAGATGTTTGATCTTTTGTATGGGCCATAATATTTCTTTAGTTGTTTCCTCTTGGCTAGCTCATTCACACCACTCTCTATTTCCTAACCGGTGATTGAGGCATAATGGTGTACTGAGGTCTTCATTTATCATCTTAAGGGCTGATTAATCCCATTTGCAATGAAAATGTTAATGCATGCTTTGGTAGTTGTTTAGTGCAACACTCACTAGAAGAACATACCTTATTGCAGATGTGGCGAACACCTGCCCATTTGAGCCTACACTCAGAACAATTATTGAGGCTATCACAACAATAAGATCTGTTTAAAAAAAAACATATTAAAATATTAGATTTATACATTTAAATGGTCATTGATTGTAGGACAAAAAAAAGCAAACAAAACATCCAAAAGAACTTATGTTAATATGCTGTTTCATCAAAATTAAACTAGTAGTTTTGTATCTGCAAAACTATGCTTGTTCTAAGCTAGGTGAAACATGTTTGGTAAATCACATACAAATTCACCATTATGTACATTTCAGAAAAAAAACAATACCTTGGTAGTTTGACTCAAGGGACCTAAAGATAAAAAATAGGGTTTGCTTATATTAGCACTATAAGGCATATATAATGCATCTCACGCAAATACTTGCACACAAAATATGTGAAAAGAACATTAAAAGTTGTGAAGTCAATTACTGAAAAATTAAGACATGCACAATAAGAATGAATTAAAAAGGCACAAGAATGTGAATTATGATACAGCCCTATAATTATAAAACCATATATTCTCCCCCTACCACCACCACAGGATGCTTGCCCCATTCAAAGCACAAAATGCATGGCATTCATTTAGTGGAAAGCCATGCAATATTCTATTTTCTCCTCATTCAGTGCTTTGCCCATTGACCTTATTTATTGTACAGTATTCCAAGGCTGCTTAGGTACAGAATTTTCTAATGATAATGAGTTTTTTTTCTAAGACACACATCACTATAGTAACTGAGTGCTTCATAAAACCACTTATTTTCACAAAACCTCATGAGATGACGGCTAATATTATAAATAAAGAGATGAGGCAGACAAATTGACAAAAAAGAAGTTATAAATTTTGGGTACCCAATTTGAAATAACTAGGATCTGATTTTTCATACTACTTAGCATTTTATATGTTCAATGAGCTGCTCCTGCTAACTTCAGTTGCAGATGGGAGCACTCAGCACATCAGATCCCAGGTTCTCATGCTAGGCACACAAAATAAGGAACACAGGAAATAAGGAACACAGGATTCACAATTGTTTCTGAAAAGTTTGGCTTAGGTGAATAGATTCATCAGCAGCAGCAATCCAGTTGAGGATGATGGGCATTCATGGATGCCCTATCTGTGGGTCTGAAGATGGCTGACAAGGCCAATCCAGGATCAACAGGTTCTGGTACAATTTGGGCACATGTTTCTGGTTGGGGTGGATAGCTCTGGATTCTTGATTCAGAAGCATGCCTGCTTCTGCTGCTCCTGCTTTTCCATCTCCTGTTGTCATCGTAAGGTTTCAAAGTACTGAAATCCTTGCAGCAGACTCTTCCTCCATTTGAAGTGGTCCTGAGCAACTGTCTCCTATGAGTTGATATTGATATTGCATTTTTTCAAGGTGGCCTTGAGGACATCCTTGAAGTGCTTTCTCTGCCCTCCTCTTAAGCAAATGCCTCAACTCTGCTGGGAGAATAAAATTTGCTTCAGGAGTTGGACATCTGGATGATGTGGTTGGCCCAACTAAGTTGACATCATAAGATCATTACGTCGATGATCATGGTGTTTACTTGTGAGAGGATGCTAATATTGGTGCATCTGTCTTCCCATTGGCTTCAGAAGATCTTCCATAGGCAGCATTGATGGTACTTTTCTAGCAGCTTGAGGCATCTCCTATACATTGTCTACATCTCAGCTGCATACAGTAAGGTAGGGATCATGACTACTTGATAAACCATGACCTTGGTTTCAGATCCAATGTTGTGATCTTTGAACACCCATTTCCTCAGGTATGTGAAGCCTGCACTTGCACATTTGAGGCAACATTGGATTTCTTCATTGATGTCAGCCTTCTGCCAAAGATGGCTTTCTTTCAGAGAAATACTCAACATTCTCCGGAATCTCACTGTGAATCTGAATTACTAGAGCTGGAAACTGCTCATTAAGAGTCGTTGATGGAGGACCTTTGTCTTCTGAATATTAAGCATCAGTCCCATTTTCTTGTATGTCTCAGAAGATGTTGAAAATCACCTGAAGATCTGCTTTCAAGTGACTATGCACTACAGCATCATCAACGTACTGGAGCTTGAAGATAGGAAAGAATGTGGAGCCATAGGAAGATGCCATAACAAGTTTGTTAATGAGTTCCCTGCTCTGATATCACTCACTCACTCACTCATTCTCTGGAAGGTAGTTTTTTTTTTAAAGATAAAGTGAAAGCTGTTTGAAACTGTGTGGTGGTATGGACCAGTGAGCAAGGCTTTCAGGAGTTATGTGGTACTGAATTTTCATGCGTGCAACATGCATCTTTTTCTCAAAAATCAGCTGCTGGAAATTGGAATATTCATTATATGCAAGAAGTATAGTAAGAGCAGGTCTTGCTGCTTACTGGCTAAAACCAAAACTAAAATCTGCAGGAATTCAAGGGGAGCACAAGAGCGAACAGGCCTGGTTCCCTAGTTGCTGCTACTCAACTACTTGCTACAAGGAACTACCTTTTTTCCTTTGTTTTGCCTTTCAGAACTCCAGAGAATCTATAATATGCTGACGTGTGTTGTATATGAAAAAATATGGTAAATAGGTTGATAGCATACTCTGTAATTTTTTAGTATACGGTTACTGATTTCAACTTCACACATGTAGTGCGTGTGCGCTGCTAAATCATTTATAGGCCACCACACCCTTATGTGCATGCAGAAAGATGCAAAGTACTTGTCTATATATAATGGTAGAAAAGAGAATATATAAAGCAGGCAGAGTTGAAAACACCAGCTGTTAAGGGTCTCTCATATTTTCCATTGTAAGATGAGTTTTCAGGTGCTTATAGCTGACCTTTTAATTATTTGGGCTTAAATTTTCCATTCTGGCTATTTAACCCCAGTCTAAATATTTCTGGAAAATTCACCCTTCCCCTGCCCCCATAAGCTATTGAATACAGGTGACTGGGAGGAGAGATAGGGTACACAAAGGGAGGACTGAAATGAAGGCAGGAGAGACATGGGGACAAGCTTGAGAGGAATGATTAGAAGAGCCTCTCTTCTACAACACACCTCCCCTGCTTCTACCCACCTCCAAGTTTACAGTGGAATGCAAGGTTCCAGTGTCATCATTCCTCTATTGTGATAATGATCAATCTCTTAGAGAAGCAAGCCGGATGCTTGCAATTTGGCTGCACCATGGGCCTCCACTCTGTCCTTTAGCAGGGGAGGGAGATGGCTGCCTATGTCAGAGAGAGGGGAGGGAGAAAGGAAGATAACTTACCTCTCTGATAAACAGTGCCTACCTAGGGGAGATGGATGGATAAAGGGTTGGAGAGAATATGCAGTGCCTTCTGTATGGGAGAGAACAGGGAGGGCTGTGATGGGGATCAGTGGCACGGTGCAAGGAAGGAGCTACATCAGGCCTAATCACTTGTTACTAATCCCATGTGCTGTGGGTTGGAGCTAGTCACTACAGGGTTTGGATCTAGACTATAGGTGGTAGGTTAAGCATTACTCTTCTACTGTCATGTCTACTATGGAACCTGCTGGAAAACTGCTGGCAACCCATCCCTCTAAAGTTCGTGCACACAGAAAATTACCATGTACCCCTGCTACCAGTTATCACATAAGTTCAAGATACAAATCTTAGATGGTGGATTCATAGATTTCATAGACATCAGGGCTGGAAGGGACCTCGGAAGATCATCGAGTCCAGCCCCCTGCCCAAAGGGCAGGAAGTCAGCTGGGGTCATAGGATCCCAGCAAGATAAGCATCCAGTTTCATCTTGAAGGTGTTCAATGAAGGCGCTTGAACCACCTCCGGTGGCAGGCTGTTCCAGACCTTGGGGGCTCGGACAGTAAAGAACTTCTTCCTTATGTCCAGCCTGAAACGATCTTGAAGTAGTTTGTGACCATTCGACCTCGTCATCCCTTGGGGCGCTCTGGTGAACAAACGTTCCCCCAGATGCTGGTGGTCACCCCTGATAAACTTGTAGGTGGCCATCAGATCACCCCTGAGCCTGCGCTTTTTCAGGCTAAAGAGCCCCAGGGCTCTCAGCCTGTCATCGTAGGGTCTGCTTCCCTGACCTCTGATCATGTGCGTGGCTCTTCTCTGGACTCTCTCAAGCTTCTCCACATCCTTTTTGAATTGTGGAGCCCAAAACTGGACACAGTACTCCAGCTGCGGCCTCACTAAGGCCGAGTACAGGGGGAGAATGACGTCCCGGGATTTGCTTGAGAAGCATCTATGGATGCAAGC